CTGCTAGGACAGAAGCGAAACGCGCCTCGGGCAGGTAAGGAAAAAAAAACTTTTGGTAGTGGTGGGCCCTAAAAAGTTCCACTAGGGAACCTGCTCTATACCATGTAAGAATAATAAGTGGAATGAATGAACTAGGAATGAGATGGGTACAAGTAGGAAACACAAAAGTGTTGTACCCTCTAAGGACTACCCCACTACAGCCTAAATAGACTATAGCATATAGAAGTTTGACACACTCAACAGTATAAATAACAAAATCAAGCTCCCAAATAACAATGATTATTTTTTGGATCAATCCCCGCAGATATGCGAGAAGAATCTGCTGCGAATCTGTAGCAGATGCGTATCACCACCATTCGAAGCAGTCGGTTTCCCTCTCCACCAACTCCACACATCGAACCCGGCCTTGGGAAAAAATGGCAATTTGATGAAACAACAACATTTCAGAGGGTGAGCGAGGCAAAGCCAAGCCACCAAGGCGTGTCGCTTTCCATTTGCCAGGCAATTCCACAGCTGGTGGCAACGATGAAAGCACAAATAGGCGAGTCGTGCCCTCTCACTTCGATCTCAGGCCTCCCCCATTCAGATGAAGCAACAATGGCTTCTGCTGGAACTTATGAAAGTCTTGCTTCTTGCAATACTCGCTCTGTCACAGCTACATTTCGCTCACTCGCAGTTACCACGACTCGGCAGTTCAAATTACTCTCACAGTCGCCCGCAATTGCCGCTCCCTGCGGTAGTGTGTCCAGACTTGCGGAAAGCGCCCCGCACTCACTGCCGCCTCCGACCACTCGCTCTCTATGGGAGATGCCACAGCCAGGAAGAACCGCATTCTCTCCTGACAACGCCATCTGCGCGCGCCAAAGCCATGGGTTGTCACTGCAACAGTTGCAACATCTCATCGCCCTCACTGCTGCCAGCGACGGCCCGCGCGACACGAGCAGCCCTTCTGTCTTCCCGTGCATGTCGTTACGCGTCAGGACTCAAAATCGCAGAAGTTGCAGGCTGTCGCTGGACTCAGCGCAGCGGCGACTCGACGCATGGAATCGCGCGAGCAAGCCCGGCGTGGTTGAATACAGCCGTGAGAATATCTGCCCACAGCGGCGGCTTAAACGCAGCAGAAGCGAGCCCTCGCTGACAAGATTGAAGCAGGAGTCCTCGGATAGCCGAAGGCAAGCGGCGCTTACTTTTGCAACTTTGACTTTCTCGATGATGCCGTCGTTTCAGAGGCGTGGAAGCAGGCGTTCCGCCACTCGCTCCGCCGCTCCCGGAGCGCTCACGCGCTGGGCGAAAAGGGCACGGGCGTGCTCTGGAGCGACGCCATGACCGCGCTTAACTGGCAGCGCGGGAGAGCAGTCATCTACAGACGGCCAGAAGGCCCAACGCCGTCAGCACTGCCAGCAGGAAGCTCATCAAACGACCATCGTCACGGGTGGGACAGCAGGCAGCAGATCGCATCAACTGCGAGCTCAACCGACCCTGTTCGTGCAGGCGCGCCGCTCCTCTGCGCGGTGAACGCAGCGACGAACGCAGCGGTGACAAGCCGAGGTCGGCCCAGTCCGTTGTGCCAAACACCGCTGTCCGCGTCAGTCGCGTCGCAACCATCGGCGAGCCGGAGGCTATGGAGTTCGGCCTCAGAAAATGCACGTGTGGAGACGCAAGCGGCGAACTGCGATCATGATGATCATGATCATGCGTGCCGTGGTGAACGCACAGCGCATCCGGCCAACTACCACGGAAGTTTTGCTGGCACGGTTCTTCTCACGGAAGATTCGTATTGTACCCAGACTCCGGTTGTGACGACTATTAGAAACGAGCAGAGCCGCATGAAACAGCAGCAGCAGCAGCAGCGGGTGGTGAGGGACCCCGTGAGATCAGTGTTCGCTTGGGCTGCTGAGCAACGAATAGCCTCTCTGCGGACAAAGAGTGCTCTCCCATGAGTTACTGCATAGCATATCTAGCCAGCTCACGTTCTTGGTCCTCTCAGCTCGACCTGCGAAAAGGCACGAAATGTTTGCATTCATCGCCATTCGAGTTCCGTGCAGCCAAATTGGCGATCCGTGAGAATCTGCGAGCCGCGTTCATCAAGTGCAATAATTTTTATATTTTTTTTCGAACCGCATCAATTAACTATTAATATGTACAGCACATACAGCATGGAAACATCGAGCATAACTACCCCGTAAACAGCCCGGATTGGCAACGACACTCAACAACAACCCAGTACCCTGCCCTAAGGATGCCCCTCAGAACCCACGTTCCTTTGCACCTTTCCCCCCAACCCCAACCCCCTAACCCCCTCCCTTTCCCCCTCCCCTATCCCCTCACAGCCGTGCATCCGACAACTACGGGGCCTCCACCCACAGAGCCCCCCCCCTCATCCACCCTGTCCTCCCTCTCCTTGTCTACCAAGTCAACGTCCACCCCGCCCATGGACGACGCAGCCCGCAACAAGATAACGCGAGCCTGCGCCCGTTGCAAAACCACCCCAATAAGCGTCTTCAAAGACCCCAAAAGATATGACGAGAATGACGTGTCATCTTCCCGACAAGCCCCTCGCGACACAGCTAACCGTACGTGAGCGTCCCTCTGCTGACTCAACCAACGTCTGAAACGTCCACCCAAACACCCCCACGTCTCAACAATCAAAGGTGTGAACTTCACCCCCCGATTGCTCGCTAGCAACGGCGCGTAATCGCTCGCCTTCCGTCGCTCCCACTCCTTGGCCGCCACGCCCACAGACCGCCCGCACTGCCCGACCAAATATGGAGAGAGCGACAAGGGGTCTACAATACTGATCTCCAAGGTGTGCGCCTCTCCGTCCATCGATCGACGCACTGCAACATCCACACGCTTTCACGGCAACAATATGTCATCCTCCATCGTCAACACCCCCCCGGATGCTTTGGAAATCTTCGCCACCGCAAACTTCACCTCATCGTGCACCCGAGAGGGACCGTGCTGGTACTTGCATCGCAGTGCATGGTGCGGGTCCGCCGGGTCCGCATACACCGTGCCGCATACACAACGCCCTGCCACGTGCAGCTGCTGGATCGGAAGGCCCAGACGCACTGCTGCAGCAATGCTCCACTCAGCAGTTGTGAAGGTGAAATCCGCATGAGCTGGGACAGCCGAGACCCATGCACCAGTCCCCGGGCCCTGAAGGGATGTGAAACGGGCCAGGGTGGCATCGTCACGGGCCAATCGGCGCACAGCCTAAAGTTCCTCCACGGCCAACTGCCGCAGCCGCGCCTGGAAGAGACGACCGGGGGGGGGCAGCGACGCAGATAGGCAGGCTCAGCATCTCCCGGCGTACAGCCTCTGGCAGTTGCTCGAGGCTCTTGGAGAACCAGGGGTCAAGAAAATCCACCCCCGCCACAATCCTGAGATAGTTCGCAAACATCGCCTCTTCACCTGCTACCCCCAACTGCGCAATGTTACGCGCAGCCTGCGCCCACCCACAAGCGTAAGACAGCGGACTCAAGGAAGTCGCTGCTCGAATCCCAAAGCCGCTGAGGCGAACAGGTAGGTGCAACTGCAGGCGAGTCAGCCTAGACCGTGCAGGGTCGAACTCCCAGGTACCAGACGGGAAGAGCTGCTCGAAGCAGTCCTCCATACTACTGTCCCAGTCACTGAAAGCGTCCACCACCTCTGGCCGCGGCGGCACGGTCTGCGCGAGGTACATCGGCCGCGCTGAAACAGCGATAGCCAAGAGGGAGTCTGCATCTGCGTGTGGTCGAGCAAGGGGAGCCACGACAAGGGCGTCTGCAGCTGCCGAAGCCGCTCCCGCAAACGAGCCACCTCCCAGTCCTCCACTCCAATGGGGACCCCCACCACTGTGAGTCCCTCCTCCACCCGCTGCATGCCCAAAGGCATCTCCTATACCGCGTCAGAGGCCTCCCGTACCCAAAATCGGCACTCGGGGGCCTGCACCTCCAACCCCACCCCTTGCAGCCGTTCCCGTAACACGCCGAACGCCTCCAGAAGCCTTGTCGCCGGGCCCAAAATGTAGGTATCATCCGCATAGCTCAGGAAAAGCAAATCGGCAAACTCTCTAGTGACCGGCTCCATGACCAGCTGCTGCGCGAATGCGAAGAGGAAAGGTCCGAGCGGGTCCCCCTGCCGGGATCCTCGTGCTGAAGCAAGAGTTTCTACAAACGGGCCTGCCCGCAGATAAAGATTGCTAGGTGTCCCATAAAAGATGCCCAAGAATGGGATGAGACCCAAAAAGGGGGACTCCCGCAGCCCCTCAAACATCGCCCGTCGGTGGAAAGAGTTGAATGCGTTGGCAACATCTATCTGCAGCACGCACCAATCTGTGTGAGTAGTCAGAGCCGAGCGAAAGGTGTGAGTCAAAATCTCCATTCCTGCGCTGGTGCCAACGCCCAGCTGGTGACACGGCTGAAAGTGGGAGGCCATCGCTGGACCGAGTGTAATGTAGAGTGCTCGTGCAAGGATGCGCGGAAGGACCTCTCCAATGGCCACCGGCCTGACATCGCCGTTGGGCTTAGACAGCCCAATCAGGTTAGAAGCAGCAAGCCTGGGCCGTGCCCGCTCGGGAACCTGCCCTGCAACCCATTGGTTGAATACCTTGAGCAGATGAACCAGGCTGGTCGGTTTTGTGAGGAATGTGTCACGCAAGTTCTCCGTAAGCCACCCTGACGGCCCTGCAGCGGAAGTGCGAGCAGCTATGAATGGCCCTAGCCAGTATGTCGACCGTGAGCACTGGTCGCTGAGGAGCGTCGATGTCCAAGGTACGGACCCACTCTGGTATTTCGCCCACTCTGGTGGGATGCTTCCCCCACAATGACTGCACCATAGCCTCAGACGGCCGAGCCAACTCCCCTGCCGTGAGGCATGCCAACCCACGGCTCCACTCCGCCACTTTGCACCTAGTCCGACAACGAGCAAGGCGGATGGCGTCAGGGTCTTGGTCGGAGGAAGTATATGTTAAGGGACGAACTGCCGGGCGTGCTGCAAGCATGGCAGAGTCGAATAGCTCACGCCATCTCCCCTCCCAGAACGCCGTCAAATGCTCCATGATCAATGCCCTCTGACCCATCCCTGGTTTGGTCGGCAGGTCTAGGAGGAGGCGTGGGAAGGCTAGGAGAAAGAGTGTGGCAGCTTCGTCCTTGGGTCGGCTCTTCAGTCGTTTCAAAACACAGCACAGTGCATCGAGGACTCCCAGCCGGGCACGCTGAGGGATCCGACGCACCGTCTTCCCCCCTACCGCCTCCACACAGAAGAATGCTTCCCAATCCCATGACGGAACCGCCGCCCATACCCCGTCCTGGATTTCCCTCACTGTCGGTCTCTCCTGTGTGCCATCTTCTGCAAGGGAAGGAATTAAGCCAAGCGCATATGCACGCCTCTCCGCCTCAGCCAGTCGACACGCTGTCATGTGGCTCGCAGCCGCCCCTCGAGTAGCAAATGTGTGAAAGCACACGTTGCATGGGTAGCGGGGAAGCGGAGGAGGCAGCTCATGGTGTCCCTCATCCGATGCCACTGCCACCTCTACTGCTGCCATGGGGGTGTCGAACGTCACCGACTGCCGCGGGGATTCGGTACCCTGCTCACACCCTCCTCCTTGCCACTGCACGACCTGGTCTGCTGCGGCCACCCCTGGCTTCCCTCCCAGCTGCTGCATATCATAGTCCCCTACTATCACCCCTGGCAACCCTCCTCGCTGCTGCGCACCCTGGGGTGCTACCATCCCCCCCAGTTGGCCCCCCGGATGTTGCACGTCCCGGAGTGCAGTTGTCGCCCCTGACCGCCCCCTCGTCTGCCGCCTGCCCCTGGGTGTTGCTAACTCCCCCCCCCCCGCCCCCTTTGCACGCCGCAGGGTGGAGCAGTGATCCCCGGCTGCCCCCCTGGCTGCTGCGCAGCCTGAGGTGATGTGACCTCTCCCGGCCACCCCAGCGTCTGCTGCCCGCCATGGGATGCAGTGCCCGCCCCCAGCTGTCCCCCCGACTGATGAACGTCCTGGGGTGCTGCTGTCACACCCAACTGAACTCCTAGCCATTGTGAGGCCTGTGGTGCTGATATCATCCCCACCCGCCCCCCTGGATGATGCACGCACTGGGGTGATCCTGGCACTCCCGGCTGCCCCCCTGCCTGCTGCACGTCCTGGGGTATTGCTATCGCCCTCGGCTGCCCCCCTGCCTGCTGCACGCCCTGGGGTGCTGCTAGTACCCCCGGCCGTCCCCCTGTCTGCTGCACGCCCTGGGATGCTGCTATCACCCCCGGCCCTCCCCCTGGCCGCTGCACGCCCTAGGGTGTTGCTATCACCCCCGGCTGTCCCGCTGCCTGCTGCACGCCCTGGGGTGCTGCTATCACCCCCGGCTGCCCCCCTGATTGCTGCGCGCCCTGTGGCACGCCTACCCCTCCTGGCTGTTCCCCAGGCTGCTGCCCGCTTTGGAGTGCCGCTCTCACCCCCTGCTGTCCCCCTGGATGCAAGGCTCCCTCAGGTGGTGCTGCCCCCCCCAGCTGCCCCTCCGTCTGCCGCTCACTCTGGGGTCCTTTTTTTTTACTCCCGCTAGGAAACATGTACAGTTCCCACAATAACTTCACAGCACCATGATTATGAAGCCAGATTTCCCTCACTGAAAGGAGCAGCACCAGGCTCTAAGTTATCAGTCTAAACAAGCTGATTCCTCTGAAAATGAACTGTTTTTTTTTTTTTTTTGTCTCCCTGTAACAGCATGCATCTTTAACCGTTGCTGGCTTGGTTACACACCACACTTCTCTGCTATATTAGCGTGTCTGCTCTGAATGTCTGCTCTGAAGACAACTGAACTGAACGTACCGTACCATATACGGTAGCGTTCACATGGTTCACTCGTGTTAGGGTAAAGTCACAAACCATCAGTACCTTGCTTTACAATCTCAAACTCGTCATCAAACCTGATAATCTATACTCTGTAAGGAGCCGCATGCTATAGTGACCCGTAGCGATCCATGAGCTCTAGCAATCCATACTCTATGGATCCGAGTGCTCTAGTGATGCGACTTCTCTAGATGTCACTATGCTCTAGTGATGCCGATTATCTAGGGATCTGTACGGTAGTATCCTCTGTGTCATCTTTTCACTGCTGAGCATTATCCGCCCGCCTCGCTGCCATTCTTTGCTCAGCAGCCCAAGCAAACACTGACTTAACGGGATCCCTAGCTGCCTGCCGCTGCCGCAGCTGCAGCTGCTGCTGCTGGTACCGGTGCTGCTGCCACTGCCGCTGCCGCTGCTGCTGCAGCTGCAGTTGAAGCTGCTGCTGCACCCTGCTCTGATCTGCTGAACTAGTTGGTACAGCACCAGAAACTTGTATTCTCCAAAGTTTCTCGCTAGGGTATACTCTGGGATCCCCTGTGCTCATATGCCGTGCTCCTGCTGCTGCTGCTGCTCCTGTTGCTGCTGCTGCTGCTGCTGCTGCTGATGGTGATGATGATGCCGGTGATGCTGTTGCTGATGATGATGCTGATCGTGATAATGATGGTGATGATGACCCTGATGCTATTTGCACAAGACCGCCATTTCTCCCCCCGTGCGCTAACCTGAAAGTAATTCCTGACGCGTACGCTGAATTGTATCGTGCCGCGTTTCCTGCCCCCGAACTCTGTGCGCTGCCGTTCCCCAACCGTTCGCCTCCTGACGGCCGCGCCTGCGAACTCCCGCCGGCTGGCCGTCTATAAACGACGGCGCCGCCACGGCCCCAGATGATGGCCGTCATCGCCTCGTTCCAGCGCGCCGCCGTGTCCTTCTCCCCCAACGTGTGCGCGCTCCGCGAGCGGCGGAGCCACCGGCGCATCGCAACTTTCCGCGCCTCCGAAACGACGCCCTCTAGCGGCCGCGACGGGCCGCCCATGCTATCCTCCCCGCCGAGCGCGGATTGCCGCAACGAGGGGTCGCTTCCGCTCCGCTTGAGCTTCCGCTGCGCGCGGATGTACTCGATGCTGTTTTCCACCACGGGTTCCCGCGCGCGATTCCACGAGTCGAGGCGCCGCTGCGCGGAGTTAATCGACAGGCGGCTCCGGCCGGGCCGCCCGTCGCTCGTCGCGGCGTACGGGAAGGCTGCGGCGGAGTCGCGCGGGCTGTCGTTGGCGTTTGTGAGCGCGACGAGATGCTGTAGCTGCTGCAGCGAAAGCCCGTAGCTTGAGGAAGGATTCGACGCGGCGGCGCGCGCCGGAGGCTCTGACGCCGCGCCGCCGCCATGGAAGCCGTCGGATTGGCTCGCCGACGCGCAGTTGCCGTCTTTACTACTATTAGATCTAGGAACGGGGAGCGGAGCTGTGGCGAGTGGTTCTGTCGTTATACCTGGCTGTGCTGCGCATTCGCCGCCGGCAGCGTCGGGGACGGGGACGGTCGCCCCCGCCGCCTGCGCTTGCGCGGGTCTGGCGGGCGGAGGCGCGGACGGCGAGGCCGCGCTTTCCGCGAGTCTGGCTGCGGGATCACCGGCGGGCGCGGCTACGGGGGACGAAACGGCGGAATTTCCGAGGGACGGCGGAAATGACAGGACTGCGAATCTTTCAGCTGGGATAACTGCGACGGTCGCCGAAGAGGAGCGAGCGTGATGCGCACGTGCGACTGAACCTCCGGCGGACGCCATTGTCGCCGCAGTTGGAGGAATTCTAACTACACCCTGTTTTCGCGCTATTGTGGCTTCGGTTGTATGAACATCGCGGGGAGCAGAGCACGGATGGTGGGTATATATGGTTCGGTATGGTTGAATTAGCCTATTTGAATCAAACAAGATCAGCCTGCAGGTACGCGCGAGTTCTAAAAGCGAGAAACAGGGATTACACGCTGAAGCTTAATTTGACTATCTCGCGGGCGGACGCCATTGTCGCCGCTGTTAGAGGAATGCTAAAGCTTGCTTGTGAGTCTTGTGACCTAAAAATGGATGTGGGATCGTTTCCATAGCGAGGAAGAAACTGCGAGCTGAAGGGAGGAAGGGGGGAAGATGTCAAAGATACGCCCAACAGGAAGAGGGCTCAAGGCAGGAGGACAAACTTGCTTTGCAAGTGAAGCGGTTGACTACGATGTCGTGCACTCTAGAGCGGTTGGTTCAGTTAACCGCTCTGAACCGCTATTTACCCTTATTTTTCCAAGAGCCTGTGCCTGTGCTCGTTGCTAAACGTCGCCACTCGTGGGAAATGATTCATGCGGCCACACCCTACGCACCATCCACCTGTGGAGGATTTTCCTGCGATCAAAGTTTCGAAACTCTATGGTGTACTGCACGACATTCCCTGTGAGTTAGAGAATTCGATTCGTCGGACAGACTAAATACCAGCTGTACATGCGGAGGTTTTTTTTCGATCAAAATTCAGAAACCCTACGGTACTGCACGGCATTCCCTGTGACGAGTTGGAGAATTCGATTCCTCCGACGTTGTATGTTCCAGCTGTCCGTCTGGGCCAAGTGTTGAAGGAAACCCTTCCTACGAAACCCCCCATTAGGGAAACTTGTTGTCGGGGTTATCATTCGAGTCTCCATTTCAGAACATCCTGGGCTGATCTGAAACTGAGAGCTGTTTCAGAGGGTACATTTTCGATAGAAGGACGCAAACAGAATCCGTAACGAAATCGGCCGACGCACTAGTTTGCAGCAAAAATCCGCCGAAGCGGGACTTATGCGACATCGACTCGTGACGGCTTTATTCATAGCCACTCGCTTCAGGGTGTCTGGTTGATAAATCCGTCGTGACACTAGGTTGCCTCATTAACAAAACATGTCAGGGTGTAGAGAAATTTCCGCAGCCCATGTGTAGTTTGGTGCTCAGCTAGCGACACTTATTCGCTGCGCCAAAAATGGCGGAATGATCTGTTCAGCTAACGACAACACCGTCCCTTGCTCACTCACAGAACAGAAGCTAGGTGCATTGCTGATGGAAGGTTCACCTTGATTCTCGTCATACGAAACCGCGTAAACACGTAACTGTTGTACTCTACGTACAGTGTCACGAATTCCCCCGTCATTTCCGAGGTTTCCAATTTCTGCCACCATTCTGCCCATTCATGGGGTCATAACTGGGTCAATCAATTCCCTGACCGAGGGCCGGAAATGTGTGTGCCGTTGTCTGTGAAACTGACTGGTAGCACACAATCGGTTGTATGAGGGCCTCTTAGTGTCTGCTAAATGGTACACTTTGGAAAGTAATAATAAATGCAGGAGGGAGAGGGAAAAGCGTTTCAAAGATCCAGACTTCCAGACAGGCCCCCAGAAGTCAGAGAAATTTCTCTGATTTACCTTAAAAACTCTGATATTTCAGCCTTTTGTTTTAGTGGGCTCTGAAACTTCAGCCTTTTTTGTGTGTGAACTCTGAAAAAAAAAAACAGATTTTTTTTTAGGCTTACTCTGATATTTCAGATCTTTTTCGTGATTGTACTCTGATCAGGGCTGATTTTATCAGGGTAATTACCCTGATTTCAGGGTGATTACAGGCTTCTCAACTGCTGGGCCCTGCAATTTCAGTTTTTTTAACTTGTGGACTCTGATCCAATCAGAAAAGTTACTTATCGAACCCTGAAATCTTATAACTATTCTCAGAGTAGTGTACTTGCGGACTATGTCTATGCAGAGTATGCGTTCGGTGGACCCTGAATGCGAGGGTATCAGGACGAAGGTTCCTCGAAGTTTCCTTTCGATAACCCCCCCCTGTGCGTAATCATTACTTCGCGTGGCCCCATGTGAGGTACCCCGTTCACGCGCTGGACTGACGTAATAACGACACCGAATTCCAACACCGTGCTGTAAAGACAGCTGTCAACAATGACAACGCACCCAAATCTATGATACGTTGCTGCCACGCGCACCTCGCAGTGCACAGCATGCCTCTGCCATTCGCCAGAACGGCATGTTGACAGTATGCGCTGGCAGCTAAGCAGTCCTTGAATGAATTCGGCCTTGCATCTACGGCCGAATTCATTGACGAATGTTGCCATCAATCTTGTGGCATCGCGCCGCGGTGATTTCGTGATGACCCCGCCATCTCCAACCTTCCTTTCCTTCCCCCTACCCAGAGCCAGGCTTCCTTCGCTTCCCGCTTTTCGTTCAGTATCACACTTTCCTCTCGCTCCATCTTTCCCCTAGCTCGCCGCCATGGAGGCCCTGCTAGCCGACGAAGATGCTCCTCAGACTGGCCCTGACGAGCCACCTTTACCGGCGAAACCGACAGCGCAAGCCTTGCCGGAGAAAGCATCAGATGATCCCCGGTCTGGGCTCGATTTTCTTAGAGCTACCGGTGCTCCGGTGACACCAGAACCTCCTAGGTCTACGGTTCATGACTCTGCTGCTAGAGTAACCCCTACTCCTTCTGATTCTCCACATCCTGTCGCCTTCACTCTACCCCCGGCTGTTGCTTCTTGCAGCAAAGATCCCCCACCGCCATCGCCTAGCCCCACTCCAAGCACGGTGCGTGTGTCTGTTGGCCCGCCGTCGGCTTCTTCCACTCCCAAGCGAGCGCAAAATGGGAAGTGGGCGCAGAGTACTCTGGTCGTCGGAGGCCGCCGTATTCCACCGCCTGACAATGACAAAGAAGCTGAGCAACCGGAGGAAGTTGACATCCCTGTGCGCGCGGATACCGGCTCGCCCGCACTCACCAAGATGCAGCTCCGAGATCAGGTGTACCTTGAGGCGAGTATTAACTACGAGACGAAGTGGTCGCAACACTTTTCCTGGCTGGTGTTTGGGAAGACCAAGGACGGTTTTCCATACGTGAAGTGCTCCATCTGCATGTCGTACGCGAAGGGGAACATGAGGTACGCCATGCAAGGTGACGACGGTGGCCGTGACTTGCAGACGCAGTCGTTCAGGGCGCACGAGCATACGGACGCACACAAGGCGGCGGTGGATCGGCAGTTGAAGCTTGCGGCAGGCATCCGCGAGGGCCAGCAGGCGATTTTTGACTTCATCAACTCCGACGTCGAGGGGCGGCGCGCGATTCGTCTCATGCGGTCTACGCAGTTCCTGTGCCAGTGCGACGCGCCGATTAGCATGTTTCCGAAGCTGATGCGGCATCTTGCGGAGCAGGACACGCCAGACATTCCTCGACAATCTTACGGCGTGTATCTGACACGGTATTTAAGCGTTAGATTGCAGCTGGACATATGTGACGTGTGGTTTTTTTATCACGATCCTGACCATTTTATTCTCCTCTGTGCAGATACGGGTTCCAACAAATGGTTCACAGCATCAGTACATACCTCACTCGGGTCCAGATGGACCACATCCTGGCATCCCCCTTCCTGGGCATTCAGTGCGACGAGAGCACAGACCGAACGCGAGGGAAACACATGATTGTGTACCTTACGTTTTTGAAGAATCGCCAAATCGCATGCGAGTTCTTTACATAGCTGACGGTTGAGCGGTGTGATGCAGGGTCTCTGTTCGAGGTGCTTCTGAACCATCTCCGCTCCGCAGCCGTCGATGTGTCCAAGATCGTCGGCATCAGCACGGATGGGGCGTCGGTCATGACCGGGAAAGAAAACGTATTGGTGGCGCGTCTTCGGGAACACGTTCCGCACCTGTTTTCATGCCACTGCATCGCCCACCGGTGTGTATCAAGTTTCCTAGTTGGTGTGGTTTTCTACGTATAAGATTAACCAATTACCTCTTGATTTGTATTCCCTGCATCCTACAGTGAGGCGTTGGCTGTGAAGGACGCCGCTGAGTCAAACGAGGACCTTGGCATGGTTGACAAGGTGGTGCGCACAGTGGCGACGCTTCTCGGAAACTCAAGCGTGTGGAGTCAGCGCTTCAAGTACCTTCAGCGAGTGATCTACCAGACAAACCTCGAGGTCCAAGGAATCCACACGGTTCGATGGCTGTCACGAGGTGATGCGGTGCGAAGGCTGTGCAAGGTCCTCGGCGCTTGCATCGTGCTGCTCTGGGAGCACAACCACAAGGCCTACGAGATTGTGACGTGCTACAAGTTCCAGTTCTGTTTGTTTTTCCTGGCCGACATTCTGGCCGACATGAACGACCTCAACCGCTGCTTCCAGAGGCGTGAGGTGAGATTGAATGCTAGTATAATGTTGAGATGGGAAGTGTAATCCTACACTTTTGCTAATCCTACTCCCTGTTGTTGATTGCATTGTCAGAATATTATGCTCTAGCCTGTAGTGGGGTGCTCTATAGCGAGTACAACCCTTCTAGGGTTTGCTATTTGTATCCTCATTCTTGCTAGTGCAACGCTCCTTCTTCTTCTTCTTTTTAAACTTTCACATGCTATCAGAGCAGGTCGATCCCCTTGGATCGATCCTGTGGGTGGGCTCACCACCTCGTTGCTTCCGCTGCAACTTCCACTCCTACCCTCTGTGCCGCACGCCCCGTGGCGTGCGGCAGTTTTTCTTCCCGCCGTGCGCCCCGAGGCGCGCGGCGGTTTTCTGCCCGCCGTGCGCCCCGTGGCGCGCGGCGGTTCTCTGCCCGCTGTGCGCCCCGAGGCGCGCGGCGGGCTTCTACCCCGTCACTCGCCGCGTCGCCCTCGGGAGGCGCTGCGACGGGCGACGGGGACCCGCGCGTCGCCCCCCGTCGCCCGTCGTGGCCTGCGCGCGGCCCGTACAGCCGGCGCGCGGCCCGTACGGGCTGCGCCAGGCCTGCGCGCGG